GAATAATTTAACCATTGTATATATTTTATTGATTCTACGTAAAATATAGTTATCCTCAATAAATCATTTGTATAATACTTTTGCTGTCCATTTCGAGGTAAACATTCACGTTAATTCCAATATGGAAGATTTTAAATAGCCATTAAAATAATAATTATTATACCATCGTACTGTACACTATTCTTTATTAAACTTTACTGATGTTCGTTTTGGCTTAAAAGATAAGTGTGGTTGGAAAAATATTTATTGTCGATTTTATTGTATCGAAAAACGTCTTGTTTGTTATTGGAAAATATTTCAAAATCGCACGTTTCTTAACATAAATTATTTGATTCGGTAACGAAAATAAAATTCTGGTGGATAACGACAGTACAATATATAACAGAATTTACGGTTAATGTATATCATTAAATCGTGAAATTAAATGTTAATCGATAAATCATGAAAATTAAACGATATATTTTTTTTTTATCACTTCGAAGAACTCGACCCTACCTACTCGAGAAGTATTATTTTTATGGGCCATTATGACACATCATTGTGTACATCACCTGTACTCGGATGTTTCTTCGTCGACATATTTTTTCACGCGACACGTAGTTACTTTATCCCTACGATATATGCTTACGGGCTTCAAGACGGAATTGCCTTACGGTACGTGAAAATAGTACTTAAAATCGTTGTAATGTACGCATACGATCCAATATTTATGCGTCTTATACAATGCACGTGTACTAGACGCTATGGGACGTAACTGGTATGTTTCGAATGTTGTCCGACAAATTTTCGTATGAAGTATATAATACAAGGCGGCGCGAAGGTGAAATGCGCGCGGCAAAATGACCCACCGCGTTGTTGTTCCTTAAAAAGGCACATCACAATATAATACAAAATAGCCGATCGACTACCAATCGCCATTGTTAACACGCGCGCGGGATGCGTTGTAATGTAGGCGCGTTACGTGTGTTGTAGACGCCGGGGTCGTTGTTTGCGGCACCGATTTCAATCGTAATAGCGCGCGCGGTATATACCTGTGTACCTGATATGTATACCACCCATGTACACATATTCCACGGCTCGTGCTTGCACGCCAGTGCAGTAGCTATCTTTCATTGCGTTTTTGATGAAAAAATATGCACGCACCCTTCTCAGTTATATTTATAATATTAATTGGTGGACTTCATTTTTCGATCATTTTGACAAAAATGTTAATTCTTGTTTATCGTTAATCTTGTAGAGCTTAGTGCTATGTAACAACGTCTTATATCATAACTGCCCGCTAGCTGCGTTTCTGCAAAAAAATGTTAAAATACATTCTTTCACGAGAATCATATGGTATTTATCATATCAGTATTCGTTATATTACGGCACAAATATTCTACAAGTTAAAGCATTTGAATTTGACAGGTACACGAATTCACAAACATTATTATTTTTTTTTTTATAGTTCATTAGGTAATATTTTAAAACATTAATACTTACGTTTAATGTATATGAAAATCCATTTGTTTTTCGATTTTATTTGAAGAAAAATACTAATATATTAATGTGTTTTGCGCCCTAAACATTTATGTGCCCTTAGCGATTACCTGTCTCCAAAACATTAACTTCTATGGCTATGATCCTGCCTATGTCCTAGGTAGTCAATGGTGTGGAATTCCATTTTTATGTAGGGCAGCAGTCTTATAAGTTTTTGAGATGGTTCCCCAAGCCACATTTATGATAGTATTACGAGTTATGCCATACGAATTTTCGGTAAATGGTGTGTGCCCGGGATTAAATATTATTATTTCCCTTTATAACTTCAAAACAACTTAAGCTCCATTAGGTGAATTAGTGCATATGTGATAGCTGTTCGTAATAGGCTTATACCATAGGCACATTGGCTGCTGTAGTATTATGGCTATAATAGGTACGAACGTACAACACAAATATCAACCGGATAGATAACGGTCGCGATAACGTAACTAATTAATACGGAATACGCGTCTGGTATGCGGAGGTTTAGACGACGGTTTGGTGGTCCGCGAGCAGCGGCGGGGGAGGTGGCCGGCTCTATGGACGTCTGCAATCGGGTGTATCGATGAAATCCGAGACGGTGGTCGGAGGCCAACCGGGTCCCGTTCGACACTCTCGTATGGTGCACATTATACTCACGCGCGAGCGCGGGCGCGCGCGCGAGCGACCGACCGAGCGCGGGGAAGACAATAACGGCAGCGGCGGCGGCTCGGACAGACACCCGGGAGGTACCTAATCTCCTATAATAGTAATATTATTCGATTATAATCCCCTTTGGGATCGTGTAAACGATAGGAACACAGTATTTTTATTATTTTATTTTGTTTTTTTTCTTCACCCTGTATGTATAGTTGTTGTTGTTGTTGTTTTTTTTTTTTTTGAGAAAATTGATTTCGACAGCACTACGCGCGTGTACAACAACAACACTGATATATTATACACATTATGTGTATGGTTTACGATCGCTTCACGTCGTATACCGCACAATTGACTTTCTCACTTCACGGACGGTTATTTTATTTTTTGGCCGTTTTTTATTTTTTGCCCAACACCAGAGTTTGCATCGTGATTTTTTAGATTGTATAGGTAACGTATGTTATATTGTATAAATTAAAGATAGGTACCCACACTTATACATATGTTAGGTATATGTGTGTTTTGTTAAAGAGACATGCTGAGATGTAGGAAAAAAAAGACACAAAAACGAGTTTTAGTTGAAATCGATAGTGATTTGTTCGATGAATTAAAGAAGGTGGGAGAGCAACATTATTTTTTTTTTTAACGGTTCACGACTTCACGGGTACCCTATATAATATATAACAAGATGTTTGACAAATTTTTATGATGTTCAAATAATGAATTCACGCTCGTTCTACCTACTGGTAAATGTACACTTTTATTACAAAAAAAAAAAAAAGGAATATTACCAGACGTATATTTTATATACTTGTAATAATTTAAAATTAAATTTTATTGCTTAACGCGAGTTACACATATTTCATTCTAAAGACTTGTAACGTTTAATTGCAAGTCATGTCGACGAAAAATATTGTGACTCACAGTGTACCTACATGTTATTTATATGTAATAATGATACAATATAGGTACAAGGCTTATAAGTTATTAACTTCTATGCAAAGTGTGATGGTGATGTTTGAAATATTCAGTGTTGCTAAAATAAAATAAAAACAAACTTTGCCATTTATGAATATATATGTATTCGTGTGGGTAGTAGTGGGTACGTAAAAAGCATAATAGTCGCAAAAGAAATGGCCTGAAAAATATTTTCGACACGACCGTTGAAATTAGCGGTTTCTTCTAACTCAAACATAACGTATATGTATACGCTCGCGAACGAAATACAACCGCACGCCGTCGAGTTAGGTCTCGCGCCCGGACAAAGGGATGTGCTAAATCATCGGTTTATTTTACGTCAAAATAATAATTTGACAAAAATACGTATATCTGTAATAATAAAAAAAAAAACCACCCTAGTAGTATGCGTTTGCCGCCACCGCCACCACCTGTCCGATCCCGACGGGCAAGGTGTAAAGTCAAAAGACTAACAAGCCAACGCATAAACACGCGGTGCACACGGGTGGTGCGTGGCTCGACGCGAGTCCGCAGCGGCGGACGATTCATTGTGTCCCGCGCCGCTTACACGGCATATACGTACGCGCGTAGTACGTTTGTGTGCAGCGAGTGTTCACGCGCGCGGTGCGTTCAGAATGCCCATTATATCAAATTGCTTGTCAAAATAAACCGCGAGAGGCGCCTGCCGCCGCCGCCGTCCCCACAGACGGACACCAACAGCGGTTCCCCTGCCCCTCCGCCATAAAGCGGTCTACCCGGCAGCCGCTATTTTTCCGGGGTCCTTTGCTCTGTACGTCATCGACGGCGTTCGACGGATATCGTTTAGTCACACGCATACATTTACAGACATAGGTACACAAATGTATATTTGTACGTACACGTGTATGCGCACCGAGCAGATCGTAATCTCGTACATGTATACGCGTCAGCCGCAGCTCACCCCGCGGTGCCCGTTCTTTATTATTATTATTATTATTATTATTTAAGACAATGCTTTTCGGAATGCAGGTCCCGAACAAAATGGCTGCTGCTGGGTCGGCAATTGGGTATATTAAGCGGGGGCGGGGTGGTGGGGCGAGGGACGGGTAGAGGGAAATACCGACGTGCACCGTACATAACGTCCGTAACGCATTCACCAAGTAGACTGCGGCGACGGCGACGACGGCGAATTCGGTTTTTCCCCTCCTTCAACGCGTTTTCTTCTTCGTCTCCGTCCTCGTCATATTATAGTCATAGTCACAGCCGTCTATTTATTATTATTATTATTATTTTCATTCTTATTTTCTATATTACACTATGTATCGTGTATACACACGTATATAATATGTGTAATACATGGTCCGCTCTCGTATTATGTAGGTATATAATAGCGCGGCGGCGTGTATAGCCCCGTTTGTTGCCCGCGCCCAACGCGGCGGCGGCCACGACATTCTTGGTTTTCTCTCTGCCGCTTTTGACCTCGCCGCCGCGCGTATATACCGTCGTACCACCGACACCACATACATGTTTCGCCCGCGGTGATCTCCGGGCCCCGCCCAACGGTGCCACCTCGGCACCCCCGTGTGCGCCGATGTCTCATCTTTTGTTTTCCGCTACACGTCTATCGCTGTTGTTTCAACGCTCTATGGTCGTCTATGGCCCATACATATTACGTACACAGCCGTTTTCAGGGTATGTGAAACCCTAGGGCCTTATATATATATATTTAAATAGGAGGCCTTTAGAGGCATAAATTATGGTACATATATTTTTTAACATATCAATTATTGTTATGAGCTATTTATAAACTTGATTTCTAAATTTTCAAAAAAAAAAAAAAAAGAAAAGTAATATAAAATTATGATATTTAATAAATATAATGTAATTTTTGTGAAATCCTGAGGCCTCCGGCCTGGGCCCTTTGGACCCATGTTTTGATGCGACACTGATTAAGTACAGTAGCACACAGCATAACCGGCAATGGCGGTGTGAATACGATTTTCCGTTGCGCTGTACAACGTCTCGCACATCAATAGATGTTAGAATATGTCAATAGACATTAGAAGTTGATAGAAACACGTGCACAGACAAAATCCGCGGTGATGTGAAAACGCGAACCCGCGAACGATCCCATGCGCGGTCGAGTTTGTGGTCGATAGCGATCTTTCGACGCGATTGGTTTTCGAATTTTCACGGTGGTGTGCCGCCATATCACATTTCACAATGATCGTCATCGTGTGCATATTTTATTGGGATTTTTTTTCCTTACAATACAATTTACAATCTGTTGCGTATATAACGTGCAATAAACATATGTGATTGGGAAAATATTTACTTAATGTGAGTATAATATGAGGATGGACACTGTCAAGTGACATTTAATAGATTCTTGCTTCAATGTATTTTTAACCGTTGGGCGATTTTCTGATAAGTTTTCTGCGCCTTGAATGGAAATGAACGGTTTATATGACTGGAGAATTTGGAATATTATATGGTTTTTTGTTGAGTATTTGTTTTATCTCACCACCGTACATGGATTTTGGATGGACCGTTCAACACTGTAATCATATAATATTGATAACATACTCTAACAAAGTGAAATTATGGCGTTGCTTACAAACTTTTATTATATCCATGCACAAAATTCCATCGTTGGACGTTAAATTATTGCAAAATCAGATATTTCCGAACTTGGAATCAAATATAATTTCGAATAATCAGTGGCATATTTGAAATCATTTTTAGTGGGGGGGGCAGCAAAATCCGTACATTTGATTTTGACATATTAATATCAAAACGTTCACTAATCTAAAAATTTAAAATATTTCAATCAATACGCAGCTCAAACTAAAGAATCACTGTAAATTATGAAGTATAGTAAAAATAAACTACATATTAGCACAGAATATTTATTATAATTATAAGTACCGTATTTTTCTTTGTTATCTACGATTATAACCATTGTTCAGAAAGTTCACTTAAAAATTGAATTCGTTCACGTTAATGTTCAACTTTTTTTTAAAAAGTGAATACGTTCGCGTTGTTCAAGTTCTATGAAAAAATGAACGTGCTAATTTGGCCATTCAATTAAATTTTCTTATTTCGTATTTATGGAACCACTTACCTGCATTCTGTATCGTATTAATAGAATCTTTACAATACTATCTATTACGCCACTTTACGCCACTGCGAATAATAATGACTATCTAGTTACTGTTGATGGCTTTTATAAATGCGTGGCTATTCGGCATACGCAATAATTTTTTAATACGATGTCAATTATATATAAATAAATCACAACACCAAAAAAATTATATTTATTATGTTATTGCGTATAACATTAACTTAATACATCTGACTTACCAAGTTTTAAGTTAAAACAATACCAATAAACCAATAGCCCAAATATTTTTCTAACAAAATATTTTTAATAGCTTTAACCTATTTTAATGATATAATTACAGAAGTAATTTTAAAACTGGAAACCAGCAAAATAAATGTATTTATCGATATAACCATAAGTCTAGTCACTATTCGATATGAATATTCTAATAACTTTTTATACAAAAATGTCAGTGTACTAAAATATTATGTAACGTATTAAGTAGAGACATTTCATAAATTTGATTGTGTTTTATTTGTCTTATGTTATTTATTATATATATAATGATTTTTAATCTTTTGTAATTATAAGTTGCACAATATTCAACTATAACACATGTTTACATATTTATTAGCAATTTCTTATCAATGATTGATTGCAGTAAAAAAAACACGCAAATTAAACGTAAACAAAATGATTGTTATAACAAAAATACACTTATTCATGACTCATGTATTTTATAAATTCAGATCCGATCGATTGTACCATAAATCGTGTCTATGCAGTACATTTCAGTAGGAAAAAAATGTGTGTGTTGCAAGTACGCGCGTTGGAAGTGAAACTTGCTTCGGAGTTTAGGCTTCTTAGAATTTCATATGTAATACTCAGAAGGAAAATAAGAAGGGAAAAAGTAAAACTAAAGTAAAAAAATTGATCATTGGGTTATTATTTGATTTAATAATTTATTTAGATTAATTTTTATATACTTAATATACGAATAAAAAATACTTAACAATGTACAATTCGTCTAAAATGTTCAATATCGAACACTAAAATTGCAGGTTTAAGATATAAACAATTTAAAATGAACGCAATTAAATTGTCTATAAAAGATATTCACTCAACGCACATATACGCATTAGTCGACGTTTTCTCCCAGGTCAATATACGAAACGTGAATGCGCATATGATGTTTAATCCCCTTCCAAACATACCCGAACAGAACGTTACAGTCGGCCGCTGTACCCAACCACTGGGTCACGTCCTCAGGTATTTCCTTAAAAATGTTGAATTTCAAAAGTTTTTATACGAAATACGTATTTCAATCGATCCGTAGCACTATGTTGTATACACGATAAGTTCTTGTTGAATAAACGTTCATGAGCAAATTAGTGCAATTTTTCACGCAGTGGCTATTGCTGCTGCTGCTGGTGGGTTAATTTGTCGTTGGTTATCTTAAATAACGATTCTCAGAAGATCCAAACGGACGTGTGTATAAGTTATATGCCGGCCGGGCGCACGCTTAAACAGGCATAACCAGAATGCGAGTCGTCCAATAACTTGCGCGCGCATAATTCCGTTTAACTGGTTGCCGTCATTAGGAGAGAATGAAAAAAAAACTAGTCGCCGGTGACTGTTAAGCCGTGGTGTGAAAATGGTGTACACATACACGCATTCTTGTGGGAAATTACGACGACAAGCAAAGCTGTATCGTAATGATAGCCGTTTATTTTTTCTCCGATTTTATTAAATTTCGATAACTACTCGGGTATAAATATATTTATTTACATATATTTGCGCATAATTTGTTTTTGGATACTCATTGTCTTATGCTGGCTGAATGACTAATCGTACTTATATTGTACAGTACCAACACACTATTCCGAAAACTTCATTCGCTGCAACAATCGATGCAAAAGACAATAGAGACTAATCAATTCTATACTTATATAAATTATGTGTTCTGTTAGTGTACACCATTTAGGTTTCGTTTGGTACAACAAATCGTATACTATCACGATTCGAAGACGTTCTATTGAAAGTCACTGAATCCATTTTTTTTTAGACATTTCTGCTGATTTATTTCGATTTTATCATTTTATTTATTCGGTTAAATAAGCTGCAAATATATCGCTTATGCATTTGATAGATATAATTATTTGGAATATTATTGTTAACCAGTAAAACACTGCTAAATACAGTGGCGTAGTTACGGGGAGGGTGTAAGGGGTTTCCACCCCCCCCACAGATTTTTTTTTAATGATATTTGATTATTATTTATTAATATTTATATATTATAGTAAAATATTTTGATTTTACTATGATTAGGTATATATTAAAAATTGAATAACAAAATAATTTTTATTAATACGGGACATAATAACACTATTTTAAATGTAATATTATATATGATCTCGTTTTAAGATATACTACGAACACTTAAAAACTTACACTTAAACACCCCCCCCCCCCCCCACCAGAAAAGAATTGTATCTATGCTACTGGCTAAATATAATTTAGCTGAAAAAACACGAGCATAATAGTGTTCGTAGACACTTATACAGGTATTAAATTTATTTCGTTTTCATGTTTCCAGAGGTGTAAGGAGAAACTCAACACGTTGGCCATCAGCGTGATGAACTTGTGGCCGAACGTCCGGCTGCGGGTGATCGACGGATGGGTGGACCGGGCCGGTAGCAGCTTGCACAACGAGGGCCGAGCGGTGGACATCACCACGTCAGACAGGGACAAGGCCAAGTACGGCATGTTGGCTCGGCTGGCGGTAGAAGCCGGATTCGATTGGGTCAATTACAACCGTCGGTACATACACTGCTCTTGCAAATCAGGTGAGTCACGAACGCTGTTCAGATACATAATATTATGTACACGCAATCGTATTACAATTATTACAATATGGTACCGGTTAAGGGGCACGGGTAATCTTTGCGGTTATGGTGTATTCCCTGTTCCCATGTATACACCTATATGTACCACTAGACAATGCGTATTTGTGGTCGTCGGTTCGAATAATAACGTGCGACGCCATGTACGTATAATGTACAGTGTAAAGGTATCCGCGGCGTGTATCAACATATTTTCCAATATCTGATCGATATTATCTGAGCTACACGTAGGAACGCTAATTTCATCGTTATTATATACTTCGTGTTGTGATCAAAATTATATTTACACACGACAAAATGTTTAAACAGCAGAAATTAATTTTACTGATAAAAAGTATCGAAAACCAGTGGTGTATAGATAATCGTTTCTTATTAGCAATAATATATAAGCGATTTATATGTTTTAAATACGCTTTCAACATTTAATATCGATATAATTTATAACTAATTGGTGGTCATATATTTTACGAATCGACTCGAGTGATCAATATTGAATGTATAAATTAAACATTGTACATTACGCAAGTATCGGAGTATAAAAAAAAAATTAAATAAATTATAAAATTATTCGCTTCTTTTCAGAATAAAAAATTATTTTAGGTATTTTTTAACTGTTTAACTGTTTTTCTTAATGATAATCATTAATCCTCTGAATAAATTTACATATTTTACTATGTTTAGTATAATGATTTCTAAGTTATTTATTTTTTGATAAAGTAGATAAGTTCTATATCATATCAAACAAAATATAATACGAATAGTTCGGGCTTATTTTCGATATATTTTAAGTGTCAGTAAAATATATTTGACTTTTTAACGCCGAGAAAATGTATTAGTATTTATTATATGTATCTATATACAAATGTAAATGAATAAAACTATCTTACGCTTGCATAAGAGTCCAAATATGTACACTGCACTATTCAAAAGAACTATTAATGTACGAATATGTATAGGTACTATTTGAAATGATTTTTTTTTCATCCACATAAATATAATCTATACACTAAAGTGCAAGTACATCACTGTTACAAGTACATCATTTGGTTCGGGTAGTAGTTTGTTTAGCTGAATTTCTGAATGAGCGTGTGAGAAAACCATACGTTGTGTCGTAAACGCGGAACACGTACAATAATAATATACATTTTGTATCATACATGTACATATACATATATATAAACATATATAATATCAGTACAAGTGTATTTATGTATTATTTGTGTGTGTGTGAACACGTACACGCGTGTTGTGTGTATATGCTCGCGCGCGCGCGCCGGGTGACCGTGTGAACGACACAACGACGATGACGACGGAGTTGCGTACGTACATAAAATCCGTACAAACAAAAAGAAAAAAACGGCCGCAAAGGGATTTTCCGGTGAAATCGTCTTCTTGTTTAGAAGGGTGGTCGAGAGAAAGAGATGGAAAAATGTTTGCTCCGAGCAAACAAGTAAATAAAAACGTTTTGTAAGCGTCGGCGGCGGCGACGAGTACATGCGTGCGTGTTAAAATATTCGGAAATTATTGTTTCCGACCGTTCGTGGCCGGTCGTAGACACGGCGTCGTATATAAACATTATAATAATAATAATAATAATAATAATACCTATGTATACCTGTGCGCGCGTATAAACACTCTGCGCAGTGGTCGTCATCGTCGTCGTCGTTGTTCGGTCAACAAGTCTCTCCGGCCGGTTAGTCTTTCAACGGGCGCGTCATATTATTTTCCGTTAGTCCGACAAAAGGGCCGCGTATCGTTTTCACGCCGGCGCGGACGGGTCTCATTAATTATCGCTCGCCGCTAGTGCCCACATGCATCGCGGGCGTCGGCTATCCATCATGCACACGCATACACGCTCTGCCGCCGCAATCGGCTCCGGCGGCGTCGGCATCGGTGTCTCCACGGTGACGTGACGATCTCCGGGTGGAAAAGGAGGACGTCCGGTTCGCACGGTTCGCTTCGCATTATTATTGTTATTAGTACTGTTGTTGTAAATTAAGCTCATGTCTGTAATATACAATATCGAGTCGCCTGACCAGATGAACACGTAAAAGTTACCTTGAAAACACTGAGAATCTAGTATAGTTTTTAATTTTTCAATGCACGTACAAGAAGAAAATTGTTCATGAAATTATTTGAAATAATAACGATCGATCAGTTGTAATCAAAAATTAACATAATTTTTTTTTATCTTACTTCAATGCAGTATAGTAACGCGTACCAGTACCTGCGATGAAAATTGTAAGGAACTTTGTACGCGTATAAAAATAAAAGATTACGGAAAACTAGTTGCTGTATAAATCCGTCAAGGGTACAATTATTACCCATAATATAGTTTTAAATGTAATCTATAATATTACATGCATTGTTATATAGGTATAATATGGTTTTATATTTCATATCTCAGGTATGCGTTATTTACAATAACATTTCGCTGCGGCATGCGTGGTGGTAGTTGAAAATTAGTGGTATTGGTTTTTTTTTCGTTTAATAAAAAGTAAATTGTAAAATGCATATATTTGCATTATTTTTCGCCGTATGTGTTTAAATACGGTTACATACGACAGTTTAGTCAATCGTAACATTTGATTTTGTTCTTGTACCGCTTTTTAAAGCGATATCGTATTATTCAGTAACAAGGTTGAGTCTAATGATAACACGCGTTTTTTAAACCTATTTGCATATATATTTATAACACGAGTTGAGAAATATGTTTTAGAGCAATAAAAACAATTAGTGTAATCCCAAACGTGTTATAAAGTGGACGTTCCACGTTATTTGCCATTCGTATACCAATACCAGTATGCACGTGTATAATTAGTGATCGGTATACACGTTATCCTAAATTATATTAAACGGTTACTCTACACGATTTAATTAATTTTAAATTAAAAAGGAAATAAAAAAATGTTTCCAGTAATTGAATAACGGATTGCGAATAATTATAATGAAAGTTACGGACGTTGTGTCACTTGTATTGGGTTTGCGTCAATCGCTTTACAGATCTATATTTTTAATCGGATATCAAAGAAATGTAACTATATATAATAAAGTGCTTTAAGTGCAATAATATAAGATATATATATATACAGGGACGGCGTGAGGGGGTGGGTAATAGGGGCAGTTTCCCAGGGCCTCGTGCCTTATATTATAATTAAGGCCCCGCGATTCTGATTTAACTGAACTTCAAATATTTTATTAATATAAATTATAAGACCCAACATTTATTTTGCCCAGGGCCTCGCAAACTCTAGCACCGTCACTGTATGTATCCGTCACTGTATGTATATATATATATATATATGTAATTATAAGGGAACGGATTTAAATGCTCTAAAAAACAGGAAAAATGCCTTAAAAAAATACGATTTAATGCCTTAAAAAAATGCTTTAACATCAAAAATGCACTAAAAAAATGCCCTGAAAAATTTTAAAAATGGGTTTATATTCAATAAAAACAAAATTTTGAATTTAAAACTTATAAAAAAACACATAATTATGAAAAATCTAATAAAAAATAAAAAAATATTTAAATACAATACAACCTTAATTAATTAACTTTCAATTATCTTGATATATGTCATACTATCTTCTTTTTACCCTTAAAAATAAAAAAATTAATAAGTATACCATTTAGATAGGCATATTCGTTATACTTTTACCTTTTGTTTCATAGCATTGTACTCGTATAATCAGGTGCTGCTTAATATTGTCAAACAGAAATCTTCGACGGTTATCGGCCAGTATTGTTTTGTATCTCGAGAAACTTCGTTCCACGTCAACTGACGTCATAGGTGCAAACTTCATATGAGCCATATCATCAACAGTTAGTTTTTCAGATATTGTACTATTTCGAGATGTTGCTTTTCCTTCCAAAATATTTGAAATTTGTGTCTACACGTGTCAACAATAATTTCGTAATTTCGTAACATAATACATATTTAGGTATTTTAATTTTTTTTAGAAAGAATGTGGAAAAAATGTTGAAAAAATGACTTAAAAACCACAAAATGCACTAAAAATTTCAAAAAATGCTCTAAAAATGCATTTAAGTCTTAAAAATACAAAAAAAATGCAAAAAAATGCAAAATAAAAGTTACATTTTTTAATTCTTTGATGTATGAAATGAACTGTTTGCTTGGAAACCAATGTTTTCGGACATTCAGAAAAAAATGCAATTTGCATTCAAATCCGTTCCTTAGTAATTATGTAATAATTAGTTGCGTGTATAATATCGAAGATTGCAATAGTTAAAAAATAATTCCTAACACCTATGTTAAATATGTCATTGGTTTCAAGAAATCTCACAATTCCCATGATTTTATTTGTATTATTTAAAAAAAATGTACTAAAATTATGCAACTTTTTATTTCTTATCAATTATTAAATTATTTTGTTTACACAACAATACAATATATTGCTTTTATAATGAACATATGTTTACAAATAGGTACAATTTGCCTGATGTAAAACATTGCTGAGTGACCAATTTAAGAAATGTTTATTTTTAAGTCAACCATATATTTTAAAGCAGCTCATTCAGAACAGAATAATAATTGATTTAATAGGAAAATCATTGAGGTGCATATAATATCGATCTTACTATGCAATTAATGATAATACTAAAAAAGGTACTAACGATCGAAGATTAAAATTATGCATCACAAAAATGTACATAATATATAACGCCATATATTTGTACACGTTTAATATCTAAATACTATATAGTAAATGTAATACGTATACATCACACGTATATTTAGATAGGCCTAATTTATGCCACTATTCATATGTACCTATTATCTTTTATTCTTGACAACAATGACATAGTATTATACTCACGGCCCACCCTCAATTTATAACAACTAACGTGAAAAATTATTGTAGAAGGGAGCCAAGAATGTACCACTGAATTAATGATATAGATGTCCTATATTATATTA